TAAACAAAATAGGTAATAAGAATAAAATGGAAATGGGAAAAATGGAATATATGTACAACGAAAGGAGACTGCGACCACACAAAAGGCCACACCATCTTGGTCTTTATATCTTCGAACAAGATCATATACTTTACAATACCTCTTGCTTAGTATCGAACTGCTGATTTTTATTACTTTACTATGAAGATCCATAGTCGTATTCATAGTTTTTCAAAAATCATTTCATGATTGTGCTTTTAGTAATGGAAAAAAGATTATACGATTTCTCATCTTGTTTTAACGACATCATCGTTTTAAACGAATCCGGGTTTCAACCTCTGATAGGCCTTATAATAAAGGCATTATTGTATTATTACCTTCTATATTCTTTTCTGTAGTTTACTCCATTTTGGCTAAACCGTTAACAGACATTCTTACATCTTTCATATTTTCAGCTACAATTCATCGGCAAATAGACTACTTGCAACGCCTCCTCTAAATCCAAACTCTCTTTGGAAGCTTTTGCTACCTGGCCAGCTTTGTCCACTTCGTTGCTGTCCCCTCTTTGAACCTGACACACCAGTTTACTTTTTGCCTTCTCAAAGAACGTCAGTGGCCTGTGGTTTTGCTACTCTTAACAGTGATCTCATGGACTCCACGGCAGCCGAAACCTTTTCTACCTCTTTTTCTTACCTCGTGCTGACCGCTGGATCCGGTCTGTTCCGAATGTATTTTGTGCCCTCTCTTGACCTTTGCAGCTGGTCCTATTTCATACGAAAACTGCTAAATCCGCATTCTCCTCTGTCAGATTTAACCTTGCCAGATGATTTACAGGCTCGTTTCATATCTATCGAGTATTGTCGTGATACCGATCGAATCTGTCTTGGTGATACAATAGGCAGGATTTTCATTTACCAGCTACCATGCAGCGATAGGGATTACGCAAATGCATTGATAGATGCCCCTACCTTTTCCATGTTGGATAACACATTGCCGCAGTCGCAGTGGTCTGTACCAGGAAATTTCACTAAAGTGCCATCTACACCACCTCCGGCTGGTTTTGGCTCCAATGCG